AGAACACACCTGAAGTCTAACTCAGAGGTTCCCAAACTTTCTTACTGCATAGTCCCTTCCTGATTTACTACCTGCCTGCATACCCCTAGAATGCCAATTATAATAAAAATTAAACTAGCCTTTACAGAATTTCCCTTGCATACTCCCCCACCAAGGTTGTCTTGCACCCCTAGTGGTATGCAAAGCACAGTTTGGGAACTTGTCATTTAACTCATTGCTTTATAAGTCTCATCTGCCACTCTCCAGTGAAGGCTTTATAAATCATCCTAATATTTTCCAAAAATTGTGCAAGTTACTGCATCCAAAGCTTTATAGCATAGAAACAAATATTCTGAGTCTGTCTCCTGTCCCCTTATGACCTCTAGAGGAAGGAAAAAAAAAAAGATTTTTGGCTTTCCTATATGCAGATTTGTGGACTTTACTTCATTGCCCACAAGCAAATCCTTCGTTAAAACCAATTCCTGCTCACTTTTTTTTATATTAAACATGCTGTGAAATGACTGTCACCGAGTTTTTGGCCACAAAAGAAAAATACGCAAGTAGAAGGAAAGAGCTAATCCAAAGAGCGCACACAACCAACATAAATCTCTACCAACCTTCTCAAAACAATACTACATGATTGCAGGGCATCTTGTTTGCAGTGTGGCAGTAACTAATAACTGTACTCAAAACTGGTGTCCTGTGGTGCTAGGTGCTGTACGATTGCACAAAGCATGCCGTTTCATCCTTGTAGTGATGGTGCTTAGTTTCGTCACTCAGAAGCTATAAGAATGGAAAGTTATGGATGCTTAATGTATTAACCTTTCAGGGATAAAACGGTCCCCTTGGTTAGGTATATGCAGTGCTCTTACTAATGTCAACAGGATACATGGCAAGAGCAAGAAAAAAAAATTAACCTTACTTTAAAGAAAGAAATCCAATGTGGACATCACCAATTTAGTTCGTAAAACCTTAATAAAGAAAAAATCTAGAGCTAACCAAAGAGAGTTAAAGATTCAGCGGAGGGTAAAAGGAACACTTTTCAGATGTGCTACCACCTTGTAATTATACACTTAATGTGGTCAGCTTCCTCCAACTATTCAAAAGGAAAAAATAATACACCTATAGTAAAAAAGAGAAATACAGAAGAAATTAAGCATTCATGAACCGAGAAACATTTCATAAGTTGCTTATAGCACATCAGGAGTTGTAACTAGTTTTAGATTGGCATGTAAATTGTTCTGTGGAACATTCTTATTGCCTCCGAGACCCTGCTATTCTGAGTTATTTGACAGTTTAAGGGAAATCATAATTAAAAAAAGAGACATAAATAATAGCCTGTGCAATGTGGTGCGCAGAAATAAGTAGAACCATTTCATTTAAACTCTGGTGAGCTTTTAATTGCCTGGATTGCATTGTGAACCAGCCTAACGGTTGATTGCCTCCATTATGCTCTCTTGTTCTGTGCCATTCATCCGCACAGTCTCAGCTTCTGTAGTTAACACAACAAAGTAACCACAACTCCGTAACACCCAGGGGTTCCCCCCCACCTTTTTTTTTTTTTTTTAAATTTAAAAAGTAAGGTTTTGAGTACACTGAATATAGACTTTTTTTGTATACTTTTGAGCCAATTTTCCCATAGTAAACAAGAGAACTTCACTCCTTCTCTCCTAAAGACATGTATGAAGTAGGGGGGTTTTTTGTTTTGTTTTTTTAGGGGGCAGTGTAAGGAGAGGGAAAGGGGAGGTTAGGTAGAAGCTAAAAATGGGAATGCAGTCCCACAGCTGGGAGCACTGACACAGATTAAAAGAATTTGGCCAACATGGCCATTGGATTGCCAAGAGACACCAAACAAAAGATTTTTCTTCTTCTCTCCTCCCCCCACCCCCCAACCCCTTACCCTTCCCTTTCTTTTTGAAAGCTAGATGGGGCCTAAAAGCTTGTTTCTCTCTGTTCAGTGGCCCAGAGCATCCCTGCAGGCTGTAGCCCCCTAAGGAACAACAATGCAAATAGATGTCCCCAGATTTCAGGGACTAGAGCTGCTTCTTAACTATGTTCATTCTTGCATATAAAATCTTGTATTAATCTCATTTGAGGGGTTTTTTTTTAGATTTTATTCTTCAATAATCAGGGTTTATAAATGTACTAAAAGTAAAGTGGTAAATATTATATATATATATATATATATATAAGAAACACACACACTCTCTGTTAGAGAGAGAGAGAATCCCTTTTGAAGTTAGACACTGAAGCCTTTTGTGCCAATTCCTTTTCAGGGATGGGGTTTAGGGGTGAGTGGGTGTTGCTCAAGGATGTAGCAATATTTGTTGCACCTAGATAGATTAATTGGTTTCAACAGCAAATCCTACCCAGCAATATTTGAGATCCATTTATAACACACACACACACACACACACACACACACACAGAGGCTACGACAACATATTAACAGATAAGAATAATCGGGTTATTTTTTATTATTATTTTAAAGAAAACCCCTCCCAGCAAGTGCACGGTTGTTGCTAAGCACAAACTAAACCGTGAGCTTGTAACCTTACCAAAACTTTTCTCCTTTTTCTGCATGAGTTGATTTAAGGGTGCCTGGAGAGCTCCTTCTCATTGAGTACCAAATCCAAGCAAAAGTAGCAAGTGTTTCCCCCAGATGGGTCAAGTGAGGAGC